TGTCTCGGCTTGTGTGAACTCTCCTCACTTTCTGAGAACCAGCTATACTGGATTTCTCTCAATTCCTATTAAGTGCTAGGTTCTTTCTAACTTTGGTAGGTGCCTCGCCTTTCCACTCCCTCTATCAGCCTCCCTCGTTTTTCCTTGCTCAGTTTCAGTGGGGTGCACCTTCATTCCCTGCTTATCCCAATGGGGTGCACCTTCATTCCCTATTTATCCCTCATGGCTGCTGAATATTCTCGGGATTCACGAGGCAGCTGCTGTTCTGTCATGGAATGGTATGGCCTGAGGAAAAAACATGTAGAAGCTTTTGTTCCACAAGGAAAGACATTCTTAACCAGAGAAGGATGGATAGCTAGCTAGCTAGACAGAGTGGTGAGGGAGTCTGGGATCCAAGCACAGTGCTCACCTTGTAGACTGTGTGATCAGATGGGGTTCTTCCCCCGGGTCTGTTGCTGCTTAGTATATTCCCTTGGCCAAACTAGTCAGCGTCTCTCCACCTCAGGTTCCAATTTGTGAGATGGGAATAAATGACCCCACCTCAAAGGTTTTCGTGAGGAGAGAGAGATTCTATAAAATATCAACAATATATACGATCATTCTAAAATAGCAGTGGTAGCCATGTTCTCCTGTTTCTCATCCCTACATTCTGTCCCCTGAAGAAAATAGAAGAGTTGGGGTTCCCATTCTTCCCATCCTCCCCCGGCCACCACGTTCTTTCTGTACTTGTCTGTCCCCACTGGTGCTAGGAAACAATATATTTGAAGGGATAATTTGGGCTCATTTTATATTTCAGGAGAACCAGATTCCATTTCATGAATACAATTAAAAAAATAAGAACAGAATTTGAAGAAATGGCATGTAAAGTATCATTGAAACCTGCTTTTAAAGATTTACAGAATGTGCTGCTTCAATGAAGAATTTAAGCATTTTGACAGATTCAAAACTAATGTCATTGTTTCAGACACAGTGTAAGATAGAGTGGTGTAGAGACTGTTGAAGAGTACATTACCAATTAAGCGAGCATTGTCTTCTAAAATCTCATGTATTCAAGGATAGAGAGGGTCAAATGAAAAAGGTAAAAATACAAAAATTAACCCGATTCACTCATTCTGTGTGATGCGGGACCAATTCTGTTTAACTAACACACACACACACACACACACACACACACCACAAAACCAAAAAATCCCCACTAACTATGCCCTTCACTCTTAGATAGCTAGCAAATATTTATACACTTAACAACTGTACAAGATATATTTGAATAACTTTACTGCCTTAGAATATGCTTTCCTAGGAAATATGCAGATACTGATTAACAAAAAAAGTCATATCCAAATACTATTTATAACTTTACAAACAAGTACATTAGCTGATTTGTTTGTGTTGCTATCTCCTGCCTTGGGTGAAGGAATCAGTTTGGAGGTAAGCTTCTGTGTATCTTTTACCACATAATGGAGCCCTCCCTTGCTGCTCTGGAGCTCAGGAGGGTGGAGAATGCAGAAAGTAAATAAAACCAGAAAAACCTGCAATTCTGAGTCTAGCTCTAATGGGAAAGGGCTCTTAGTAACATGCTTGTGTTGAGCAGATACCTTAAAGTTATTGGGGGAAGGCACTTGTTGGCATCCTACTGAGGGAAAGAGCTGGGATGTGGTTTTTAAAAGTTTCTAGCATCCATAGTTGTGGCTCTCAAGACCAGAGATTCTTAAAAGAAAAATCAATGTGAAGAAATTCTTAGGGATGCTCTGAGCCCCTTGTATTTTTATTTAAAAATGAGTATGATTGATAGGTAATTGGGGCACATAATCCCCTCACTTCTACTGTGCTAAGTCAAAAGTAGGAAATAAACATTTAAGACTTTTCTTCTCTGCAGATGTCAATATTAGCAGTTGATAGTCAGATTAGACCTAGGCCATTCTTATTTTGCTCCCATAATCTTGACCTATCTGAATTGCTTTTCCAGCAGTAGAAGAAAAAACCCAAAGTGGGGAAGGGTAAACTTCAAAAAGATCAGACTAGTGAATCATTCACTTTAAATGAGTTTGAAAGACTCTAGATAAGATCTCAAGGTTATTGTCAAAATCCTAGTGAAATCACAGAGGATGTGGGAAGGACGAGAGAGTGTAGAGACGAACTTCCTAGTTTCCAAAATGACGTAGACTGAATAGTCCAGTCCATTTCCTCACTCAAGCTGTGGCAACATCAGAAGAGATCATACAACAATAAAGTAAATTTTTTTGTCCAATTGTAGAAAAGAATGGGAAGATCACATTGAATCAGATAAATTTATAAGAACAATACCTGCCCAACTGACCTCATTTTTTTCTTTTCTTTTTTTTTTTAAATTACTGCTGAGAATAGTAAAGACATGTTCTATCTTGATTTGAAGAAGTGGTTGAGAAGTCTCCTAGACTATCCTTATGGAAACGTCAACAACATTGGCAATTAGATGGATTTACAGGCCACACCTCTACCTGCATGCTACAAGGTTTACCTAAATAATGACCAAGGACTCGCTGCCCCCAATCCCTTAAAGAGAAATGGTAGCAGATATTAACGTGCGTATTTTCAGAAGATATGACAATGTAGTTATGAGTGCTTCTGACTAAGGATTTTTAGTTTGGAGTTGGAGTGCCTGGATTTATTCACATAATTGAGATTTTAGACTTTGACCTACCTGACTGGATGTATATATAAGACATAACAATCTACTTTGAAGCTCCCTATATCAGCTTGACTTATAAATCACTTAACAGTCAAGGAATAATCTTAACATTTAAGCAAAGGTTGGCTTGGTTAAGAGTTCTAAAGTGTGAAGATTCTTTCCCCCTTGTTAAAAACAATTCCATTAAGTCCAAGGAAATGTTTTTCATATCGTTGAAAGTCAAGTTTTTGTGACATTCTCCTTGAACAAAAGGCAGATACGTATATAAAACTTCATAATGGAGATACACACTCAGAGTATCTTTGTGAGTCAGTATTTCTGCTGGCCTAGTAATCCCACAGTTATCTCCCTTATTAAGATACTTGTGCCCTTTAAAAAACAACAAATTCCCTGGAAGTGTATTGAAGGAGGGAATCACAATATTCTGTTCCCCTAAAAGTTCTTTTGGTTTCTTGTGGCAAGACCCATAGGTGACTGTTACAGCCAGTATATTTTGATTATTATTAATCTTATAATCCATACAATTTTTTTGATCTTTAGTAATTTACATTTAATTGATTTTTAAAAAATATTTATGCATATAGAACTGGGGTACAGGCCAGAGGTTCAGGGGCAGTGAGAGGCTTCACCAGAGACAGAGTAGGGAGCAGAACAGGCAGATCAATGAAGTACACTGCTGAGGGGAGCAGCAGGTGGGTCAGGGGAGGTCTGCCACACCATGTGGGTCAGCTCCCTGGCCGGACATCGAACTTGCACTGAGGCGGCTGTGAGGTGGCTGCAGCTTGCTTGCAGTGCTGTGCTTTAACCTGCTGCCCCATCAGGGAGGGCCTCATTGATATTTCTAACATTTTGTCTCCAACCTCAGAAGCGTAACAACCTTTCAAATAGTTGCGCATTCTAAATAGAAGATCATATTTATGAAATTATCCCCTTTTTTTGGGGGGGGGGCGCAACTGTTCATTTCAGCATTACATTCAGAATTACAGTAGAATTGTGAGGATGAAAATAGTGTGTGAGCCCAGCTTTGATAATTGTTATTTTTTTTTTAAATCTAGTTCTTTCTGCTTTAACTGGCCTTTCTATGTTAAGAACTTGTAGCCCTTGAAAAAGGAATTGAGTTGTTTTGATTTGTTTTTCTGTAAAAGACCCTTTCATGTTGTTATTTGTGACCTAAGATTTGAATTTTATTATGATTGTGTCTTTAATGATATCTAATTTAAAAGCTGTCATTTTTGTAGATTAAAATCCAATCTGAGTTTGTAGCATTTTGTAATTACCTTTGTGAGTTATGCCATATGCTATAGTAAAACCTCAAATTAAAAACCAAAATAGAACTTGACTTTAAGCACTCTCATTGATCCACACAGCCTTTCAGAGTCAGACAGGCAGGCAGAAAATGACTGTTCGCCTTGATAAGCTGAGGTTCTGAGCAGGACCCGTTTGGTCTTTATTATTAGTACAGAGGTCACACAGTATGAGAGGGGAAAATCATTTGCTTTTGGTCAGATATAGCCAAACATGGAGCCCTCGTAGGCTGTTTCAAGGTCTGGATTTTATTCCAAGTGCAATAAGCAGCTCTGATGGCTCTCAAGTAGTGATTATCTGATTTATGTACTAAGTCTCATTTGACTGTGTCAATGGTAAGAGCAGGATGGATGTGGGAAGGCTAATTCGAAGGTGTTGGGGATCCCTGGTGAGGGGTAATGTGGCTTGGATTCTGGCGGTGCCAATGGAAATGGAGGAAAGTGGACAGGAAGGGCTGTGTTTCAGGGGGAGAACCGACAAGGTGCCAGTGAATAGGGCCTGGGGGTAGTTGTGAAAAGGAGGAATCATGGCTGGTCTGGCTGCTTCTAGTTCTGTTGGGATGGTGGTGCTTTATTTTCTAGACAGAGAACACCAAAGGAGAGGAAGAAGGTGGAAGAGGATGTAATGGAGAGTTTGGTTTTGGCTATTGAAATGTGAACGCTCACTTGACTTACATATATCTGTAATATTAATGTGTGAGTTTGGGTTTGAAGCTTGGTGGAGCTAGCCAGGGGTAGAGATTGATAAGAATTTACAAGGTATCAAAAGCCATGGTATTGAATGAAATTATCTTGGATATTTGTCATATTCTCTGACCTTCTCCCTCATACTTACATATCAGGTATATATTTTAATGATAGCACCTAAAAAAGTTTCGTATTATTGATCTTGTTTTTCTTCTTTTTGCCTGGTTATAACTAAATGTTTAAGCATATTTAATCATTCTCATCTATCTTTATTTAACTGGAGAGCTAACGGTTATGTTTTGTGTTCTGTGTCTGTATTTATGTATTTTTTTCTCTTGTAGGCAAAGTCATCAATAAAGATTTGCGACATTACCTGAGTCTTCAGTTTCAGAAAGGATCCATTGACCACAAATTGCAGCAAGTGATCAGAGATAATCTCTACTTGAGGACCATTCCGTGTAAGTATGAGATGAGTGGAGGTGAGGCAGAACTCTGCATTTATCAAACACTTAGAAATAATTTTATGAAGAAGCTCATAATGAAATAGTGAATGAAAATAGGAATAAGGGGAGAAAAATTTTCAGAAGACATTTAAGTGTTGTGGTTTTAGAAAGTATAAAAACTAAAGAATCTACATTGTGACTATAAAAAGTCACTAGACTTGAAGAACTTAAGAATATGTATATATATGTCACCAGGTAAATCTCATTCTTGCGGTTCAGTTTTCAAAGTCCATATAGACTTTTACATTGAGGACAAGCTTTTTTGTGATAATTATTACAGTAGTGATACAAATTAGTAATTTGTATTTATTATTACTATTTCTATGACCTGCCCCTTCTCTGAAGGGAAAAGATAGAAGCGCTTTCTTTGTGGAAATCCATTTGAATCTTTTATTGCTATGTTGGTGCGCATCTACTGGCCTGCATAGGATGGGCTGTTGCCTTATGGTGGTCTTTTGTTTTTGATACATAGCGGGAAGTATTGTGTGCTTGCATTTTGGCTTCATGAGCACAGGTCTGGGGAAGAATAAAAGCAGCAAAAGGCCTTCTACTTTATTTTCCTTTTGAATATATTTGTAACTCCTTGTGGGTAGTTTTTGAACAACAGATAGCATTCTGTGGTGGTAAAGAGCTAAGTGAGACTGACTTCAATACCTTGAATCTCCCATCTTACCTTGTGCTTCATTTAAACGTTCCTTAATCTTTCAGAATCTCAAGATCAGGACTCAGGTCATACAGTTGCTTTTGGGAATTAACCTGAGAACATGACAGGACTCAGGTCATACAGTTGCTTTTGGGAATTAACCTGAGAACATGAATGTGAACCTCTGGCCTGTAGGAGGCTCTCAGACGTGGTCTCCCTCCTCCTCCCACCCCCTCCTTCCTCTTGTCTGGTCAGCCTAGTCCTTGTTAAAGTGTGTGTCTCACTCTTGTCCTTCTGTGTTTTAATCTTCAAAGTCTCTTTAAGTCTAGACTTAAAACAGGGCAATCAACTTTTTCTTTTGCTGATTTTGTTCTAAAATCTGACTCCTTAGCTATGATGTCCTCCATAAATCTACCTGTTAGTTTTCAGAGTTGCACCTGCTCTTTTCTTTGCCTTTGATATCTTTGTCCACCTTTTTATTCTTTTATCTTCCTGAATCTATTTTACAAATAGCGTTGGACTTCACTGGTAGCCATTTGAAGCTTCTGTGATACTTAGTGGCATGATTACTCTCTTTAGTGTTTTCTTCTTTCGCCTGCGTACGAGCCTTCTATAAAGTCTTTCACTGTGCGGCCTGTTTGCTCTCTTAAGAGAAGTCTGCATCTTTATTCTGTGTAGCTGTTTCCTCCCTCTCATTCTTTGTTTTGTCACTACTATGAGCAAGGTAAAAATGGTCTAAAAGATGGAAAAATAGTCATCTCTTCTTTCCTTTGCTTTCTGTGATCATTTTACTTGAACTAATACAACTTCCAATAAATACAATGTAATCAGTAGGTTAATTCTAATTCGCTATTCTTTCCCTGTTTTTTTTTTTTTTTTTTTTTGCTAGTTGTCATCTTTATTGGCAAAGCAAAGAGCCATTATAAATGGCCATCTCCCCTTTATAACGATCATTTATTCATTTTGTAGTCCATGGGTAAAAACAAATTTAAGCTCACTCTGTACCCTTCTGTTGTTTCAGTAGTTGTGGTTGTCTGAAGCTCCCTGGCTCCCGGAATCAGCAGTTGGTGGCCTTTATTCTTTAAAGTTTGTCTGGATGGATATGAAATCTTAGGCTCATGTTTCCTTTCCTTGACTATTGTAACCATGTTAGTCAATAATCTAATTGAGTGAGCATGAAACATCACTCTTAAAAAGCCTGAAAACAGGCCCTCCCTGGTCGCAGCAGGTTAAAGCACAGCACTAAGAAGCTAAAGCCACTCCCGCATAAGTTGCATCACCGCCCCTTGAGGAGATCCACATGGCGCGGCAGACCTCTCCTGACCCGCCCGTTGCTCCCCTCAGCAGTGTACTTCATCAGTCAGCCTGTTCTGCTCCCCGCTCTGTCTCTGGTGAATCCTTTCCCTGCCCCTGCACCTCTGGCCTGTACCCCAGCTCTGTATGCATAAATAAATAAATAAAGTAATTTTAAAAAATCTGAAAACAGTCTGATAGGCATTTGCTTGGAGGTAGCTTGCTGTGTAGGCTGCATGTGATGGCAGTGGCTCAGCACTTCTGTTCCAAAGCTCTAGAGCTCCCTCTTTCCTTGTGAAAACAAGTTAATAAAACCATGAACTTATACTTTCTGTCTCCTTTGCTGCCCTCTGCCACTTTTACTTGGATCTTCTTCTTACTTTGCTTCTGTTGTCCTAGTTTTACAGTTCCTTCTCGGTGTGAGACTATTTCCCAGAAAGAAACAGTGATTTCGTTTTAGTTTATAGGACCCAAATGACTGCAGGCTTTTTAGATCTGAGTAGGACGTCTTAGCTTACAAATTGAAATGTCTAAAACCTCTCTAAGAACCTAGAAACAATGATAGATCAGCAGTAGTTAGCTTGCTGAATAGTCACATCTGGCCTCTAAATATGTGTTCACTAAAGAACATACTAGTGTTCTTGTAGAAAAAAATTAATTTCAGCTCTAAGGGCAAGAAAAATAGGTGGGCTTGGGATACCTAATTGTACCAGAAATTCTGTAAATGCTTACAAATGATGAGGGCATCAGAGAGACATTTAAAAATAGATTCACCTAGAGCTACTCACTAGATGGAGAACCAAAAAATGAATGTGAAAGAATACTATTGTCAGGCACTGGACTATAGATAAGCCATGACTGACTCGAGAGAAAAGGACAGGAGACTATACAGTCATAAAGGAGTCCTGAGGAGTCTCCAACTTTCTGCCAGAGTCACTTTCTGGACCACAGCACAGGGAGCGGACAGAAATCTGAGTTCTGAATATAGTGGACTCTTGAGTAAAGGAGACAGAAGTGCACGTTGAAGACAGAGTGCCAGAGAGCAGGGAGCTGGGGTGAAAAGGAACTCAAACAACCTGTCCAGGTGCTTTTTTCTTTGACTCTGTTGCTTAATACTCACCCAGGCTGTGTTGGGTGAGCTTCACATGGTCAAAGCAAAGTGCTCTACCTGCTGTAACTTTAACAATTCCCAGGGCTTTCACAGACTGGGAGAAATCCGAGTTCTCAGCAGCCAGAGTGGAGAAATTCCATAAAGGTCATGTCTTACTGTAGGACAAAAATAGTCATAGATTAAGCTCCTTGAGAGGTATGCTTTAAGAAAGCTAAATTAAGCAGGCCCCAAAAGTGTCAGGCACATATGCCTGTAACATAACTGTCAACTAAGAGAAAGAAAGGATGAAAGGGAGAGAAGGAAGAACCTGGGGTGGAGGGGCAAGAAAATCAGTACTCCTTAAATGAGCACAATAAATTCTAGATACCAGATGACATAATACAATGGCCAGCATCTAATAAAAAATTACTCTGCGTGCAAAAATAAAACTGTAACAGGAAAAAATCACACATAGGAAAAGAACTGATCTTTTAAAAGGTTCAAATAATAGTATAAATACACCCAGAACTTGAGGAGTTATGCTCATGAATTTAAAGTCGATATGAGCAGAATGAAGGGAAAATGAGATGTATTTGTTAATTGAACTTCAAAAATTAATTGGATGGGCCTAACAGAGTAGAACGTGCAGGAAAAGTTGATCAGGGAGCTGAAAGAGAAGTAATAAAAAGTATCTGGAACATGAGAAGAAAAGGTCTGAAAAGTGAACTTAAAACAATTTCTTCTGCTGTGAATGACTACCTGCTACTGGATTTACCCTCTTACTGTAAATTGCTAGAAATTGGGCCAGATACAGGTAACTGTTTTATGACATTGAACTATAAGCAAAACAGTTCTGCCTATAGAATAAGTCTGTTCTATTGAAAAGGACTGTGACCTGTTCACACTGACTTATGGTTGGGACACAGGTCAATATGAGAAAGCAGAAAAGCTCGAAGGTCCATTGCCACTCCTTGTATTGGGCGGAGGGCGTCTATCCCCTGCCACAGTGCTGGCCTTCATGACTGCTGGACAGAAAATAAGGCAACGGTGTGCTGTGACTGAGCCAGGCCTTTAAAAAGTGGTGGCATCAACGCGGGTGACCTTCCTGAGCCTGGCCCTGACACTGGTTAATCCAAGCAGATCGCGGAGAGACCTGAGTGAAGGGCAACCTCGGTGTCCAGTCTGCATCCCCACCCCAGCCATTTACGTGAGCTACCTTGAAAGCAGGGCTCCGCCCCAGTAGAGCCAGGTATCACTTAAAGAGAGGGCCGTGTTCTGAGAAATGTCCCTGATGGTGATGTCATTGCTCCGTGAATGTTATGGGGTAAGTCACACAGATCTGGATAGTATGGCCTCTTGGGACCACTGTGCTGTACACAGCCTGCTCTTAAGTCACTGCCCATGCCCTGGTAGCGCCCCCTACCGGTGTGGGGAGAGGTGGGTGAGAGGAGTGAGCTCACCTTGCCAAGATCCACCCAAAGAAGAGATTCCTGAACAAAATAAGCAGTGTCATTGTTTACAAAAAACAGCTGAAATTTTCCTACATTTAATGAAAACTATAAACCCACAGCTCTAAGAAGTGCAATAAACAAACCCCCAAGCAGAAGAAGCATAAAGAAAACCACATTAAGGCACATCTTAATCTAATTGTTTAAAACCAGCGATAAAAAGAAAAGGTGAAAAGTAGAAAGAAAAAGATACATTTCATGCAAGGGAACAAAGATGCAGACTTGTCAACACGGTGTGCATACCCAAAGCCAGGAAATGACAGCCTGAACACATTGGGAGGAAAAATTGCCAACCTAGATTTCTATATATGATAAGAATGTCTTAAAAAGTGAAGAAATAAAGTGTTCAAAAAGGTGAGGATTTTTACCAGCAGACTTGCACTGTAAGAAAATTACCAAAAATGCTTCAGGAATAATGGAA